TTTAGAAAGTTTTCTTAACATTTTAAAAATTAAAAGATTGTTCGACATGTATTTTTTTTTTTATAAAGTTTGTTATGCTTCGAAATTGTTACTATATATTAGGCAATTTAATTTAAGAAGCAGTTTAGAAAGTTTTCTTAAAGAAATTTAAAACAGAGCCGACATGTTTTTTCACCCGGTACTTTTATTAGTAAAAAATTATTTGTAAGTCAGCAAATTTTAATTTACTTTGAACGCTTTCTCAATTGAAAAATCATGAGTAAATAAGAATTTAACCTATTTTTAACACATACAATAGATATAATACTATATCCAAGTATTTTATTTAAGTTACTCCTAACCGTTATGTATTATTTAAAGTACCATGTATAGCTTTAATATAGTATAGTATATTCAATCAGGGAATTTGAAATAATTTACTAGTAATTGGAATATGGACCTATTGGGGCAATAAATATGATGGCCCACTCAATATATATATATATATATATATATATATATATATATATATATATATATATATATATATATATATATATATATATATATATATATANAGTCTTTCTCTCTCTCTATATATATATAGGGTTTTGCTAACATACTACATAGTTGTAGTAGGTTAGCATTGTATACATATTTGATTTCCTTAAAACAAAAAATAACACAATACCACCAATGAATAAATGAGATGGATTTTTTTGTCTTTCCACCAAAACCTAAACCTAGTTCCCATTTTTCCCTTTCTTCCTTACACGTTATTCTCCTCCTCTATGAAGAAAAGCTTGAAGCATCCGAATATCTTATAATTTTTTTTTTTTGCTTTCTATCATTCTCTCCTTAATTTTTAGATAGTCTCTATAGAAATTAAGATTTGTATTCTTTAGATTTGGTGTGAATATTTTGGATTCATTACAATTCTGCCAAGATTTTTGGAGTAAAAAAGACAAAAAACAAACCCAGCAAAAAGCATTGGCATCTGCTCGTCAATGGTGACACCAGTCGCAGCCCGCAAGCATAAAATGGGGCATTTGCATTTATACCCGCTTTTTGTGTTACATTTTAACTTATGCCCGCTTTGCAAAAAAAATTGCAAGCGTACCCGCTTTTTCGCATAACTTCAGCACACGGGGCTGAAGTAGCAAAGGCAATCACGCAAAAACTTCAGCATTCTAGTAATCGGGCCTGAAGCTCAGCTCTAGAGCTGAAGTTTTTGTTTTGTAACTGGAAAACTTCAGCTCTAGAGCCGAAGTTTTTGTGTTGTCACTGGGAAACTTCAGCTCTAGAGCTGAAGTTTTTGTGTTGTAATTTTTGTGTTGTAACTGAGAAACTTCAGCTTCAGAGCTGAAGTTTTTGTGTTATAACTGGGAAACTTCAGCTCTAGAGCTGAAGTTTTTGTAGTGTAACTGGAAGCTGAAGTTTTTGTATTGTAACTAGGAAACTTCAGCTCTAGAGCTTAAGTTTTTGTAGTGTAAATGGGAAACTTCAGCTCTAGAGCTGAAGTTGTTGTATTGTAACTGGAAAACTTAAGCTCTAGAGCTGAAGTTTTTGTGTTGTAACTGGGAAACTGCAGCTCTAGAACTGAAGTTTTGGGAACTCAATTCCATCTTGTCTGTTACTGTGAAGCTAACAATTCCGATAATTTGGTTGTGAAATACATTACTCTTGCTTGATAATGCAGAAGCAAATTTTATTAATGTTAACCAAGCACAATAGGATGATGATACATCAGAAGAAGCAGATAAATACTTCAGTCCCAAAGAAGAAGCAGAGTTTTGGAACCTGGAGAAATTAGGAGACAATTCCTTAGAACAGTGGTGTGTTGGCTTAGGTTGCAGCTTCAACCAATCATGTAATAATTCCAAGTTGTGGGACTTTTAAGCCTCACAATTATACAGAAATTTCCTTAAAGAGCTCCCTTTTCACCATTAATAGAGTCAGTGTAGTAGGAGAATAGAAGGAGGAATCTATTATCCCAGCTTTCCGTTTTATTCTTTTCCATTTTGCCCAAGAATCAGAATTTAGCTTGATAAAAATTATTCTAGTCTTTGAGAATTGAGAGGAGTAGTAGCACAAACAGCATATACTATTTCAGAAGAAGAAGAAAACGAAGGAGGAGAAGGAGGAGAAAGGGAGCTGAAGTTATTTAAGAAGTGGGTACAAGTTAAAAGTTTAAAAAAAATGGGTATAGGTTAAATGGGGGCGACCAAATAGGGCGCCCCGTGCAATTTTCACGCATAAAACTGGTCAATCGATTAAAAGACAAAACACAATTTCTTTTCTAAAAAGTATTTATATATTTAAGCTAAATAATTTCCTCTCCTCCATTTTCCAGCACCTCTTTTCCTTGAAAATTATCTTTGAGAAAGAAAAAAACGAAGAGAGAACAGAGAGGGACACCATTGACGAGGGAGAGGAAAAAGAAGAGGAGAATTGGGATTAGTCTTTTTGTAAAAAGACAATAATGCCCTCCTATTAATGTATGATTTTTTTGCTGGTGAGGGCATTTAAGTCAAAGTAAATATGTATACAATGCTAACCTACTATAACCATGTAGCAGGTTAGCAAAATCCATATATATATATATATATATATATCTATATATATATATATTATATATATATATATATATATATATATATATATATTTATATTTTTTTTTTTTTTTTTAAATATGTCCTTACATATTTTTTCTTAAGAAATTATTTGCACGTTGCCTGACATCATACATGAGCATGTAAAAGTCCTTAAACTTCATTTTCTTTACAAAAAGTTGTAAAATAAGTAATAGAATAATCAGAAGAACAGGGGCAAAAGTTGCAGGATATGCCCTACACTTATACGAAGAACGGCTTCAAGTGGCAGTGGTCTTGGGTATTTATGTCAATTCATTATAAGAGTCCAACTCTTGCATAACACCAACTTAAGCATGAACTAAGAATAAATTAAATAGAATATCAAAGATGTCCCTTTGGTCAGCAACCAGGACGACCCTAAGCTCATCAAACTCCCTCTTATTAATAGTAGGAACTAGGTAAGTAAAGCCCAGCTTGCGCACGTGCCCAACATAATGTCTGTTAGTTTCCCGAAGTCATTCATATAGAAGTATTCAAATTTTTCTTATTGAGATTCAAGTATAATTTAGTTTGATTCAGTTTGTCTGATTTTATTTTTGAAATTGGTTTGAACATTCCTAGTCATAAACTCCTCTACTTCCCACATCGAATTCTAAATTTTTTAGATACTCTTTGAAAAAGGTTTTATCATGTAAACAAAGAAGTTTATTTTTTATAATAAATATTAGTGTTAAGAATTTCTTTTTCATTTCCTTTAGTGACTCATGCAGGAGCAGAGCTAGGGCAGTGAAAGGGAGTTCATTCATACCTCTTCGTTTATTTTTTATCCCCAAAATAGTAGATGTAGAATCCCCTTGACTTGTTCTTATGTTTATTTTTTAATATTTCGAATCCCCTAGATTAAAATGTTGAGTCCGCCACTGGACTCATGTAGCTCATGATTCTTCCATATGAGATAATTTGTTCAGTTTAACCAACTTTATCGTAAGATATAAGTGAAGTATATGTGGCATCGCTTACGTACAAGCAGCTAGAATAAATCTTATGTGGGGGTTAATGAGAATGCACAGTCTAGAGCAAGATGACCCAAGGGTAGTAAAACTATCAAGTATTTATCATAGAATGTCAATTTGTAATAATCAGGAGGAGTATTTAGGAATCACAATGGTGACTGGATAATGGGGTACATTGACAATATCCCTCACACAACAAACACCAGGGCAGAATTACAGGCGCTCCTAAGGGGTCTACAACTTGCGGAGCAGAATAACTTGGCTCCTCTGAAGATAAATACTGACTCCTCTGAAATTATCAATATGCTAACGAATGGAAGCCTTATTTATGATCCCTTAATTTGTGAATGCAGGTCACTAATTCACAGGATGGACAAGGTGGTAGTGAGCATACCTATCGGGAGCAGAACAGAGTAGCTGATGCATTGGCCAAGGAGGCAGCAAAAGAAGTCTTTTTGAACAAGTCTAGGATATTATCAGTTCCTCCGATGTCTGTCAATGATATATTTTGGGAAGACATCTTAGGAACTGAATTGGTTAGAACTTTTGTGGGCTGTAATATAGACACAATCGTGCATAACATTACTGCTATGGGGGTACTACAATACCCTAGCAATGACTCTGCTGTATTATCTTTTCTTATCTAGTATAATATAATATCCCTTTAACTAAAAAAATAATAATTAAATGTAGTAATGTATCTCATATCTTCAACATGACATTTTCTACTATATTATGCACAAATAATTGAAAAGTCATTAATAACAAAAATTATTTGAGTAATACTAATAATGTATCTCTCTTAACATTACCTAATCACTGGTGATATAATTTTTTCACAAGCACGATCTAACGTCACTTTTGTATTCAATATGTTATTCAAGTGAAATAATAATTTTCACCTGCAAACATTGAACTTTTGTTTCTAGTAGCAATATTCAAGCATAACTTCAATTTTAAAATATTATTTTCTAGCTTTAACTTCAAGTATATTATTTTCAAGTTCAATTAAATATTATGCAAATGCCTGCTAAGACTATATAAATTCAAAGTAATAAAAAGATTAGTTAGAAAGAAAATATTATTGAGATTAATTTAGTACTACAAAGTCAAATAAGTTTCTCAATTAATTCCCAAAAAGTTAAAGAGGTAAATCCTAATTTACCTTCTAAAATATTTATTGATGGGTAATTTTTTTTTTTTTTTAAAAAAAAGATTGTCGGGAAATGTCAAAATTACATTACATGAGAATAATTGTGACTTTGAGAGTGTTTGGAGTTCAGTATTAATGTTCCGACTTGAAAGTTGAAACGCAGTCATGATTTTATAGTAGTAAAAATAAAAAAAAATATAAAGTAAAAGAGCTTGTACGGTTGTACGTTGATTAGTCCGGGCTCCGAATCCAAATTGGTAAGGCAACCCGTATTCTCTGCTTCAGTCTCTAAAATATCTACAGTATACAGAATTCCCCTTTTCACCTCACGACACCATAACTCCGGCAGATCCCTACCCAAACCCTACCACTTTCGGGTATCACTTTGTAGCCAAATTTCTCCCAATTTCAACGGCTACTGGTAAGTTTTTCTTATAGCTAAATCCCCATCTTTAAATGCGAAAATTATCTAATTGTACTATCCAATTGCTTTTTCAACATCTTATTGTTCTTTTCCAATTTGCTTAATTCCTTATGTAACCTTCTTGTGTGAGTTTTTAAAATTGCTGGTTGCTCCATGCTCGTGCTTCTTTTTTCCTTTTCTTTTGTTCGTTGAAAACTATCTTGAGCATTCTGTGCGCTAATCTATATTTGCCCTTTTTCTTTTGTGGAAATTTGGACCTTTTCCATTAGTATTATCTTGCAGAACTAAAATTAACGGCTTAGTGTTGCCTTACAACCTATGATATAGGCAATTTTTGATATTGAGGCTAATTTTGCATCAATCTTCCTGTTCAAGATTTCACCTGTAAAAAGATATTTTATAGTACTAATATAGATAAAAAAAGCTTGTTGAAGTTCTGGGCTAAAGCTGCTTTTGAGTTTATAATACTGCTCTGTAATGTTTTTTCAGTTATGTTATTGGATTCCGTGCGGCTGTTTTTAAACCTTTCTGAGCCAAATGTTTGTTTTGCCTTATCATAATACCATTAAACTTGGGATTAGAATCCGTGGCAGGATCTGCACTAATTGAACTTGTTTAATTGGTGGCTGGAACCTTTATTGATCTATTGATGTGTGTGTAATTGGAACAGTCTCTCCTTAGTTAGCTAATATCTATCTTGAGAAGTCTAGGGTTGTTTTTATTTGATTTTGTACGTTGAATAATCATAATTTTCTGATGCAGTTGGTTTACATTTGTTGCACAGTTCAAAGTTCGGGTAGAAAATGGATATCGAAGTTGATCATTATGCTGTTTTGGATTTACCCTCTGGAGAGGAAGGGGCCAAACTTTCTGAGAAAGACATATCTAAAGCCTATAAGAAGAAGGCATTAGAGTTGCATCCAGACAAGAGGCCTGATGACCCAAATGCTCACTTGAACTTTCAAAAGCTGAAGACTTCATACGAGGTTCTGAAGGATGAGAAAGCTAGGAAGTTATTTGATGATCTACTTCGCGTGAAACGTGAAAAGATCCAACGCCAATCACAACAAGATTCAAAGCGTAGAAAGATGATGTCAGATCTCGATGCAAGAGAACGTGCTGCTTTTGCACCTGATGCCAGCGTTCTAGCTCGACAAGAGGAGGAGCGAATTGCTAGAAAGCTTAAAGAGGAAATTGCTCGAATTCGTGCAATGCATTCAAACAAAGTGCCTACTGCTACAGATCCTTCACAGAAAGAGAGACATGCAAAGGCTAAGGCGAGTACAGAAGGCAAGGGCAGTAGTGTAGACAAGGAAAAGGTGCTTAAGGTATCTTGGGAGAAGATTGGTGAAGATTATACTGCCCAAAGACTGAGAGAGTTATTTAGTGAGTTTGGTGAGGTTGAAGATGTAGTAATTAAGAGTTCTAAGAAGAAAGGCTCCGCTCTTGTTGTCATGTCTTCTAAGGACGCAGCTGTGAGTACTTTCTGAAATTGAGTATTGATTTTAATCGTTCATCTCTTTAGTTAGTAGCACCTCACTAACGGGTTTTTCTCTTTTTCAGAAAGCTGTTTGTGGAAATGTCTTGGGGGATCTATCAAATCCTCTCTTAATTGTGCCTCTTCAGCCAACAGTTCAACCCACAATGGCAGCTCCATTTTTTAACGCTGAGAAAGATAGAGAACCTGAGGGCCCAAGTTTGAGTAATCTTGTAGGTGCTGGATACCAGAAATTTGAAGACTTGGTATTAGAAAAAATGAGAAAGGTATGAACTGCTTTAAACTATTATTTGACATTCTGATATATCCTTTAGTACTATTGTATTCTGAAATAATGAATAGGCAAATATGAATATTCTATCTGAACTTTTTTCATTATTTTTACCTTAAGTCGAAAATCCTTCTACATATGCAACTTGGGTTGAGAAATCAATAGTGGTAAACTGTTAAAAAGTTTGTGAAGTAATTCCAAGTGAGCTTCCATCTAAAGTAGTTCTTTGATCTGTGGAATAAAATCTTAGGGAAGTTTTCTGACTCAAGTATCCTAAATTCTATTAGAGAATAAGTAGTATGTATGAATGTTTTCTGCTGAGGAAATCTGATAGGGGTTGACTTTGCTAAGTAATAGAGGAAGTATTATTATGCCTATTCAACATAAACTAAGGCACTGGGTAGATCGTAAATTGCTGGGTGTGAATTCGATTCTAAGTCAGAGAATGCCCATGAGTAGTCTTATTACAGAATCTGCAGTTCTAAAAATAGCCCTAGACAGGTCATTGCTAAGAGGAGAGCAGGGACTTTGTTACTGAGGTGCTTTCATCGTATTATAATGATTATTCCAACATAAGAACAGACGGGACTCCCAATCTCGGAGTGAATTAACCCTGTATCACTACCACCTTAGTTTACTAGACCTTGGCGAATTGACTAGTTACCTTCACCCCGCTTTCAGTATGTTTGTTTTAACTGTTCAGTAGCTGCATAGACTTTAGGAAAATCTGATTCTGCTACGAATTGCTACAGAGACTAGACTGCTGCAAAGTTTGATGAGGACATCTATTAATCTTTCTAATATGTCAACTAGTGGCTTGCTAATCCAACTAGGTGGTATAACCCATCCATTTACTGTTCTTCTGACTTTCTTCAGTCAACCACACGAGGGAGAAAGTTCAAAGAAGGGAAGGCTGAAGTATTCGGGAATGAGCAATGACGAAAGAGAAGATGAGGCACCTTGGGCACCCAGGAATTTGAATTAGATTTAACATGATTTGAAATAGAAAATTTTCTATCATTTTTCTGTTTGACTGCTGAAAAGAAAGAGGGAATATCACCTTATCAAAAAAAAGAAAGAGGGAATATCACCGAAATATTACTCCGAATTCCCTTTTCTACTTTATCCTAAAGTTGTGGTTAGAAGCTGAAGTAAAATGATTATAGGTCAAATTAAGGTTTAGCACCACCATATGAGAACTATCGTTTATTATCTAAAGTATCCAAAACAAAGAGGAACTTACTATCTACAGAAAGATTTAAGCTATGCTCGAATGGGTTTACAGGTGTGCGAATGGATCGAAACACAACCTAATTAGAGTTTCTTATTTCTATATGTCCTTTCTTGAATTGTTACTGCTACTATTACAAATTGCTCCATTTTCCTCTCTTCTTTTACAATTACTCTCCTCTTGTTACATCTATATCTCAAAAAAAAAAAAAGTGCTTCTTTACCCATCCTACAAGTAAGTTTTAGGAATTTTCTTACAAATACGTTTTACTAATTACAGGCTGCTCAAAGGAAGAAATAGCGTGCTGAAACTTCATCAAGTTTAAGTGCTGACATGTTAAGATTTCTAGGTTGCTCAGTTAAAGAAGAGGTAGGTATTTGATATAATATTTTATCTTGTTCATATTGTTTTATATATTTTATGCAGTATGTGGGTATCGATCGAGTTCTGATGGATAGTTTCTTCCAAATTAACAGGCAAGGAAAGCTAGGTTTTATCCTCGAGAAACAGCTCTAGTTTTTTATACTAGGGAATGCCATCTTGAAGTGGCTGTGTCAGTGTTATGCTAAGTTTCATTTTGCCGGTCTCTCTGAATCTGGTTTGTTTGTCTGACATGTATTGTACAATGAGATTCTCGTATTGCTGTCACAGGATTGGGTAGAGGAGACATTTCCCTTCACGTAGTCCAATGCGTGGTATTGTGTACGTGGTGTCTGCAGTAGAATCACATAAGTGCGGCGATGGATTCATCATATTTTTTTTGGAAAAGTTGTAATATATGCCAAGACATGGATGAGAGGCTAAATTGAGGCGGTGTTGACTGTACTGTATATTAATATCATTTGTGGATGTCTGCTATTTAGATCATTTCCACTTTTTTTTTAAGTTCGATGAGAAAGATTTCTTGATCTTAACTGAAGTCGGGCATGGCGACTACTGGATTAATGGTCTTCTATAGAGCTTCTCGTTGCCGTTATTCATCTTTTCGTAGCATAAAAGCTTAACCTGCTTAATTGTAAGCACCATTTTTTATTTAATTTACAGAAACTAGTAACAATGCCACACGTCCCTCAGTTGAATCGTAAGAAACTTTTTGAGTTCAACTTGTAGAAATGTTAGAAGTGAATAGTGTAAGTGAATTATGAATCAATTCCCAAATCTTCCTTTCTGACACCAAGCATGTTGTGTTATCCGACTTTTCGTGCCCCTATGTTTGCAAGGGGGAATCGGTCAGAAGGGTTGCATTGTATTTCAATAATCAGTGTTGATCATAGTTATATTCTCCTACTTCCTCGTCATTATACAGCATTTGAACTTTTCTTTGGGTTCTCGGGAATCGTGTACATAAATTACACGATCATAAGTATAAAATCCAGGAATAGAAAGAACCTTAGGTTGTGAAGAGAGTACCTTTGCAGAAGTAGCTTGGAGCAGTTAAACAAGAGGGTAGTAATTTAATATCTTGTTTGTGGCTTTTATATATTTTTACAAAGCAGTTTGCAGATATTAATCCTGTCCTGATGGATCCTGTAATCCTCTATGACTGGTCTACAGCAAGTACTTGCAACATATGCAAAAACAACAGATGGGAATTGAGAGGCATAGACTCTGCTGTATATATTAATGTCAGCAGTGTTCTGTATTTGACGTGAAAAATCCATTAGCTTAACTAACAGGATATCTGTTAACAAATACCAAAAATGTTCTATTTTTTATATAACTGAAAAGACTAAATTTGCTCGTGTATGTTTGAAGGACCATATTAGACTTATCCTAATAATTGAGGGACGATTTGTGTTAAAAACTCAAAATATAACCGCGCATTCCGAATTCAATGGTGGACACAGGAATAACGAAGAGGGTCCCAACTTTCTTGTTTAAATTATATAAAACTTTGTCCACCTTGAATGATCTATTTCCGCTACTCGAGCGTAGATCTACTAGTAAAACTGACACACACTTTTACCATTCCAGAGATGGGAAGTTGTTCCCAGGAAATAAAATAATCAATGATAACTAAAACAAAATAGCTTGAAATGCAATTAGCTATCAGGACTAACAATCCTAATATACAAGTGAAGGAAAATGTGGTATCTGATAGCTTATATCCTCCACTTCTATAGGGAAACCAGCCATATGGAATGCAGATTAGTTCAATATTCATCATCATCATAGTGTTGATCATAGTCATATCCTCCAACATCCTCATCATAATGTACATCCTCGCCAAATGCTTCTTCGTAAGTCTCATCTACTTCCGGATCAATTTTGCTGCTCTTTACCATGTTATTATCCATTGAATCATCCACATTTCGACTTTTCTTTGGGTTCTCAAGTTTTGCCTGCATAAATAAAATGAGCATGAGTTAAAACGTATTTATGGAGACGACAGCAACAAACCATTTGTGTAATTTGCCCTTTATATGAACACACGCACATCCTGCAACTACAAAAGTTCAGAGTGCTTCAGGACTTCTCATCTAGTTCTGCTTCCTACCAGGAATTGGAGTGATTTTAAAGTATATTATTTCTCTTCCAGCTTTTCAGCCGATAGACATATATGTTGGTTACACATCTTTTTTTAAATAATACGAAAATCCAGAAGCTGAACTAAGATCGGATCCACAGATAAACTATATCTTTCTCCTTTTAAAGAAACTACAACTCAGCTTTCGTAAGAAGAACTGAACAATCTATATCTCGGGATACAAAAATTGTGAGTGTAACAGCAGAGTTTCTCACATGCAACTCCCAGTAGTCATGAAATGAGCAGCAGCAGAAACAAAAACGATGGAGAATTCTACCCAAAAAAATAAAAAAAATAAAAGAACTTGATTACCGAGAAATCTACAAAAGGCTACTGGCACAAGGTTCGATAGTGGACCTACTCCTTTAACCTTTTCCACTTAAATACCAAGCTTCTGCCTGCGGTAGGATTTGAACCCGTGATGTGCGTCTAACCCACACACCACAAGCTGCGGTCTTATCACCAAAACAAAGCCTTGGGGCGAGATTTCTACAATTTTTTGATGCAGCACAATTTATTTTTTGTTACTATTTCTTAAATATCCAATATTATGTATAGTAGTGTCTCAAACACCAGCTATCTCCATCCAACCCAAACACCAAAGATTTGGTTTATATTTTTTAATTAAGGTCAAAACTGAAGATTCTTTGAATGAAGAAAACAGTAGTCTGCCAAAGGAATTGACATCCGAGTAAAAATTAAAAGTAACAGAAGGTATAATGGAATTCTCAAGAAATTTTGGATAGGGAGAAGCACATACAGACTCATCAAAAAGCTTCTCTAGCACATCATAGTTGATCTTAGAGCTCAGCCTCTGCATACATGACATAAAGCAACATAAGATGCAAACAAAACAACCGATAAATCTGATGAATTTTGTCTCATACAAAAAGGAAGATATACCATGCAATACAAACATATAACAAAGAGGAAAATAAATGTTGAGACCGGTGGGAAGAAACTAGATCTTTTCTGTGAGCTTCACGTAATTACATATACGTGGACTTGCAAGCTCATTTGCAATCCCTAAAAAATCTCCAAATTTAGGCCAAACGTGACAGAAGTGTTGAAATTGAGCAAAACAAACACTCAACAACAACAAAAAACTGGAACATGCTGCAAATCTGCGATATCAGCAAAGCTTAAGTCCAGGAAACTTATACCTTATTAAGATGTCTAAATTTGTAATAGCAAATGGAGTGATTACAGCAAACTACAAACTCAAGAAATACCAAAAGATACTCACTTGCAAGCATCCCCAAAGTGCTTGACCCTGTATTCCCAACAACCCAAACTCTCAAGCTATGCAAGCCTACAACCAATGTGAACAAAATCCCTAGTATGTCTAGAATCGCTGTTTCTTCTGGAAGTACCTTTCTTTTGACCCATTTTTTCCGATACATTTTTTATTTTATCTTGAAAGTTAATGTTCATTTGAAGAAAAGATCAAGCCATGCATAAGCATTGAACCGATATGGAAGAAAATCCCTAGTATGTCTAGAATTGCTAATTCTTATGTAAGTACCTTTCTTTTCAGCCATCTTTTCGATGCATTTTCTATCTTATCTTGAAAGTTAATGGTCATTTGAAGAAAAAGTTTCCAACTTCCCTAACCATATATAAGCTGCAGTAACCGTATCACCTGAAAGCAGAATCCTGTGACTCACAGCATCAGATATTTCTCATTGTCTATGCTACCGTGCTTGTACATCCTATAATTCTTTCCTCCTATTTCAGAATCAATGGAAAGAGACGACGAAAAGAAGTTAAAGAATCTCAATCAGATACTTTCTTCATTACAGTTGGAGGAGACAAAGCATTGCCTAGAAGAAATGAACAAGCAAGAAAATGAGTAGAGGAAGATAAGAAACAATCAATCAACTATAACATGATCCCAAACTAGTCGAGGTCGACTATACGAACCGTCTGTAATCATTCCGCTCTATGCAGGCTCATTTCATTCCAACACTAAGTGTTTAAGAGTGCTTCTCGTTAGCATTGCATGTCTCTAGTATGGTGTGTGATTTTCCTTATATTTAAACCGAGAAATTACATTTAAGGTAAAAAAACTACAATCTGAAACTGCATATCCATACAAATTAATAAAAGATACCAAGAAACATTTGGAATTTTTGTGAATCAAACGAACAAAAGGTATGTTCCTTAAACACTAAAGCTCGTCTTTCTCACTTGTCCTGGTGAATATAACCATATTATAGAGGCTAAACATAGAGCAACAGTGAGTGACAAACTTGCATGGTTTCAGATAACAACGAAGATACTATAGTTTTTGGAGAACACTCAAGGAAAAGGTAAGGAACTCCAGAATGCAGAGATTTCTGCACCAAATATTGTAACTTCCTTTGCCTCTATATACGCACCTTTCTAGTTAACATTTGCTTCGTTGCTTCTGCAGCAGTTTGAGCAGGACCAGAATTTTTCAGTTCTGCAGCCCTTTTCTGTTGTTTTTCCTGCAGATGATAGCATTAAGCAAAGTGTAAGCTAATTCCAGGAGGCTTCTAGAGCAAGTACCATGTATAGAAATGTCACATGCTGTGCTATTCTTAATTTTTTTGATAGGTCACATGCATGTGCTGTTCTTTTGGCAAGTTAAAAGAGAACATGTAGTAGTCAGTTGGTGTTGTAAGTTTAAGCAGAGTGGATGGGGCAAGACACAGATCCCACCTACTTTGACCGGCTTGTGTAGTTTTATTTACTCGTCCTTCAATTGTAGAATTGGTATTTGATAAGATCTAATAAGAGAAGACCTAACTAGTTGGAAGATCAGCGGTATTGGGAAGAGAAGTAAAGGCGTGTGGAAGATCGCCCCACTGTGTGTATTTTGGATGATTTTTAGAGAGGAACAGATGACTATTTGAAGGAATTGGAAACTTATTATGGAGGACTAGGAGTTCCTTTGATATTTTTTTTATGCTTTAGGTGTAAATAGGATGTTAAGAGACACTTGGCTAGACATTTGTGAAGGCCAACCCTGCAGATGGAAATGTAAATTTTTAGTACCATCTTAGTGCAATAAATGATTTTATTTATTTAAAAAAATAAAATAACTTTTTTATTTAAAAGACGAGAAATATCACAACCACAGATCATTCTTGCCATTCCTTTTATATTACAGAAATGTGCATCACTAACAAAAGATCAAAACACAGAAAATTGGCAATTAACATTCACGAACTTACTAAGAAACTAGAAATATCCATTATTCTCATGCAAGAATATTGGAAAAAATCTCAAAAGTCTGACGTCCCAGGAAGCTGAATGCTTTTGTCTAACTTTAGATCAATGTACCCAAGCCTTGAGTTCTTAGAAACATAGCAGAAAATGCAAGATGTGTTTCAAATATTTTCTGAGTTTGCATATGTTAATCAAATTCTTAATAACCGTCGACATCAGCAAAGTTGCCCTTCTCTATAGTTTCTTAGTTCCTCAACTTGGAACTCTGAGAGTGGGTTGCTCAAGTGGTGAGCACCCTTCACTTCCAACCAATAGGTTGTGAGTTCGAGTCACCCCAAGAGCAAGGTGGGGAGCTCTTGGAGGGAGGGAATAAAATTAAAAAAAAAAAAAAGAAAACTCTGAGAATTAATTTTCACCAGGTACCAAACTCGAGATAAGTTCAGAGTAATACCTTTCTTGATTTTGCAACAGCAGCAGCAGCAGCAGCCGCAAGCTCCTGTGCAGCTTGCACATCCTCCGAACAGTTAGCTAAATTGAACTCCTTATCGTTCTTTGCTGCTAATTCAGCCGCTTGCTTAGCCGCTTGTTCCTATAAATATTGATCGGCAAGCTCACTCATAAGAAGAAAGGGAGAGGCAGATAAGGAAGAGAGTGCAGACTACTTTGTTATGTGATAAGAAAGATCACTGTAAAGATGGACCAAAAGGGAGCAAAAGTAAACCAAAGGACTTATCATTTAGCCGCAATCACTTTAGTAGAACAGACCAACGAATCACCAAAAATCCACCTCAAGATATTCTTAATGTATTTATAAATCCTAAGACCAGTATAAGACCTTGCGATTTACATACTGATTTTACATGGTGAATCATACAGAAGATAAACTAATTCACCTCAAGATATTCTCGGTTCATCTTTACCCAAATGATCTCCTTAAAACGCCTCTCCTCCTCATTGTGAAGATAACCATCAACCTGACAGCAATGCAGGTATAACGTAATAGCCATGACAAGTTAGTGAACCAGGAAATACATGCCCATAAATGTACAACTAATTCCATGCCAAGTAAACTGCAATTCATAGAAAAAGTTGCAGCGCATTCCATTGAAGCAGAATAGTTCTCATATATTCACTAACAAACTGCTATAAAACAGTCTTTAACGTGCAATTACTTACTTTCCAGAATCTATTACATGTTAGTTTCCATATAACAGAATGATGCTTTCTAAGCAAAGCATGAAAGCAGGGTCAGGTAGTATCCTACCGATTTGCTAAGTATCACGCGATGAGGTCTGGCAGGATGAAATCCGACGAAATAACAAAACAAAGACAAAATCACAGCATTTGCATCTAGACTGACATAGTTTTCTTATGAAAGCACTTAGGGATCAGTAACCAGTGGAGTAGCACACCTCTGCATCATCGATATCGGAAAAGTTCTCTGATTCGTCATGATCATCAGGACCCATACCATCCAAGCCATGTAATGTATCAGGAGTCGCATTATCATCAGTTTTAGCCACTGATAGTGCCCCTGCAATTGAGAGAAAAGTGACTTATTCTCTAGTCCTGATCCAGGACTCAGGACTAAGTCTCTCCAAAATTTTAGCTCTCGAAGAAAATAAACATTTACCTATTATCTCAGACCCTGATATCTGCAAATATTTACTTCCAGTCACACTCAGGGTGCTCCCTCCCTTTTCAGGCTTATCATCAACCAAAAGAAAAAAAGAGAAAATATAAATAATGCACTATTCAGAAAGCAAGAAAAGGCCGGCATATTTCCAGTAAATACCAACTAAATTCAAGAATTTGGTACTAGTGGCAGTATGGTGTTGCCTAAGGAAAGACTGCTCAAAAAGAAATCGCAGTAAATGGTGGATACTTCTTCAAAATATCATCTAAAACTAAGAATTTGGATTCTATAATTGGGTAATGAGATGTTTAGAAGTCTATTACATTCTTAGTATCTTCAGAAATCCGGAAACAAAGGAAAGTATTATGAGTCCATTGAAAGGATCTTTTGCCAAAGCACAAACGTCCACATTAGTTAGTAATTATAAAGTAGCTCTTGCAGGTTTTTATGCAACAATCATACAGTTCACTCATTCATGTGCAGCAGCTTATCTCCGGGTTACTTGTTTTTTTTTTAAATTGAAACTCATTTCAGTCTTGAGTATTATGTCAAAGATCACTCAAATGAACAATGATTATAAAGAAGATAAAATTTAGTTTAACAAAAAGTAGATCATCACCATACATGTGACTGACAGGGAATGAACCTTCATTGTCCCTTAAGAGGTGGAAAGGATGGATTAGAAAACTATTAGGAGATGCTGTAAGAAACACACAATTTTTATCTTTCTGCAGGATGTGCTTTTAAGCTCTTTTTAGCACGCCCATAATTTAGAAGTCGATCCCAAGAAAATCTAGTGTGTAAGAAGAGATCCTCTTCTCCCTACCACTTATTTTCTTATAGATGCCTATTCTTTTCTTTCAAATTTATTCTTCCATCTGGAATTCTTTTAAAACCTGAGCTGTGTCTTCTGCAGCAGTCAAAAGCTTTCTTGAAAGCACAAGATTCTACTTCCCAACTACAAGGTAATAATGCTTTGGATAAGTAACAGCTCCAATGAGTACCTCCAGATACTCGCCATCATTGTTCTCCACCTGATTGGACATAGGAATATTTGGATCCTCAGCATTTTCTTCAGCAGCTTCTTTTGCCATTAATCTTTCCCTCTCAGCGCGTTGGAAGGCTGGAGGTTCAGAACCTCCATCAAGCCCACCTGAAAGTTTTACAAACTGCAAACACAGTCATGATTTTATATATGATTTGGCAGTATTACTAAAGTTTTAAAGGTCAGGGTAGCAAGTAATTACATCAGTATAACAACTTTCACAAAGACCATGGGCAAAGGGCAGCTCAACGCTTTTCTTGTGTTCACATAGCACTTCTGTGATCCCAGATCCTTTCGACGCCGAATAAAGTTGCACGGTCAGCCTCTCTTCTTTCTCAAGCTCCTCAGCCCTTGTATTGAACTCATCAATCTGGTTGCAAGTAATTCAAGTAATACTATGAAACTCAGAAAAGAAATTTTTGGCTAACACGCCATCACAACAGAGGCAGCTTGCATCAAACTCCAACTATAATGTGTCAAGAAAAAAGGATGGAGTTAAAACTTTTTAGATCCCAGGCAAATTTGTTTGAACTGCAAATAAAAATACAACATCAAGCACATCAGGATCATAAAAAGTAGCACATCACTGGTGACGATTTCTCCATGACGTGAGCATCAAAATGCCTCGAAGCCTGAGGTGCCCAGCCCATAGGTGAGTTCTTTTAAGACCCCCACTAGTAGAACAAGAAGAGGAAAAAGAGAAAAGAAGCAAGAAGCCAAAGGCAGATGAAATTAATATCTTCTCCAGAGTGCAGCCAGTGGTTGGCTTCATGGCATAGCAAAATCTGATGACAGCAAGCACACTAGATGATTTTTTTTTTTTTGATTTGCACCGGGTGTCCGAGTCTCTATGAGCCCCGACTAATTCCGGGGGTGCACAGGCCCTCGGCAAGGAGTTTCCCGCAAGTGCACCACGGTTAATTCAGGTTTTACCCAGTCCGATGGCCCTCAGAAATTGTTTGCACCCAGTGGGTTTCGAACTTGAGACCTTGAAAGGGAGCATACCCCAAGGCTCAAGTCAATTGCCACCAGGCCAACCCCTGAGGGTTGCACACTAGATGATTTTATTTGCTCTCCTTTGTAAATAGAGGATTTTCTTATGAAGAGCATTAAGAAACATAAATATTCATTAGTAGAGGCAAAATTGTCAATCTCTCACCCAATAACGTCAGCACGCTTCTCTTCGTACGTGATTGTATATGCACAACACAAGATTTACAATATTGGTTTCAGCATTGGTAACAAATTACGTTATACACCTTATCATACCAACTTAAGATAAGAACCCAAACTCCATTATGCTTGTTCTTCCTTTGAGATGCCTGTTTTTCCTAATTATGTTTTTCAGTATTCACAATATATCCAACTGAAAGATAAAACGAAATTTGAGCATTACAGGAGTAAGCACCTCACTGTACTAAACTGCTTTTCAAGATTTTACTTTAATAGCTGGTCCCCATCCCACCAAAATTGCGCACATAACTAAATACATGCACATGAAGCTTTTCAAGTTGTGAATATTGAAGTATTAGCAATGTCCATCCTACCATCCTTGATTGTACATACCGTTAAGCTTCCAGATTCTGTGTTTTCGAATTCAATCAAACGCTTTGTCAATGTTGCTTCACAAATGCGCACGACTTTGATCTGTTGACCAAAAGAACAAAGAAAAAGTTAAAAAGGAAATATTCCTTGTAGAATAAATTAGGGAGTCGGCAACTAGTGCCGGTGTTAGTGCTATATAGGCTTGAACATGAAATAAGTCGAGAAAGTAGAACGAGAATAGTTGTCAAGTCCAATGAAAAGAAAAAGTCCAAACTTCGTGACCAAGAACAAGTAGTCCTTGAAAACTAGCTACAACACTTAAGAGTTTCTCAAAGCAATAAGAAGATTACAACATGAGCCCGTCTATAAAGAAATCTGATTTTTTTATAACCATCGGGTCCGAGCCATCCTGTGCGCACCCGACTACAAGGTGTACCTGCTATCTCCCACCAACACAGGTACCGTGGCTTGGATAGATGGAACCTAGTGTTTTTGCCTCTGGTGGAGTTTGAACCCGAGACCTCATGGTTCTCAATCCACTTCATTGACCACTAGACACACCATTGAGTGCAAGAAATCCAATTGTTTTAATAAGTAAATCTGAAATTTCCATCAAAATTAAGAAAATCTAGAAAGACCACTTACAATTTCTGATTTAGTACAACTCAGTCCATATGAAAGAGCAGAGATGTACAGTGCAGCTCCACATACCCCACTCGGCTTTCTCCCTGTCTATAGAACATTTATAGATTAGAGCAAAAATGTAGGTGATTTTTATCTTTGATAAGAAAATGAACCTTAGGTCCAACTCAACCCCAAATGCTAGCTGTGAGGTGAGAATTGCCTAGGACCATATAAGGGACAACAGACCACTCTATCAAGTCTCAACTAATGCGGGACAACCTAAACCCCTCCCAGCACACCCAAACCTAGTTAACTGGAGCATGGACAACGTAGGCCCAACACTAGGTAAACCAATAGAGATGTGTCTGGCTCTGATACCATGACAAGAAAATGGACATTGGACCTAACTCTAACCCTAAAAGCTTAACTTTTATGAGGTGAAGATTGCCCAAGATCATATAAGACATCCTATTCTCTCAACTAAAGTGGGACAATCAAATATCTAGTTCCTCAACAATAATCCAGTAACTTTCGACCACATAAATTGTACCCACAGAAAAATGATACAACCTGCATCCAATCTCGCTTCATGCTGGCCACAATGTGAAGTGCAGTTCTAGAAATATTTGGCTTCCTTCCCCCAAATAAACCTACATTATAGATGATAGTCTTCACTGGTGAACTGCGGAAGCTAACAGAAATCTTATATTGCTGAAAGTATAAAAACAAAGAGTGAAAGGAAAGGAAATCGTAGAGCTAAAGGCAACATAGTAAGTAAGGTTAATTGCACAGATGCCCAGCAGGTACAACAAATAAATTTCGGGATGGAACGGGTCTTCTGCACATACCAATAAAACCAGGAACCACCCACTACTGTGGAGGAAAAAATGAGCTAACATGTACTTTACGCATTCAACAACATACCACATCAAAGATAAAAAAGAGAGATAAAATGAGGTTTGGCTCGTCCTTATTTTTGATATCTTGCTATACCTCATGTCAAAGCTCCAACCTTGTGTTTCTTCCTTTTTTCCTTAATAAGAAAAGAAATACGTAGATTTTATTGATGCAAAAACAGCACTAAGATGGTGCTGAGAATTATGCAACTGACTACCTTCAAGTCCTCCATTAAATTGTAAGAACTAATAAAATCTAAGAGTGAGTCAGCTGATCAGAAAACATCTATGAATGTGTCTACATCATTTACATATTCTAACCTACGCCAACAGGCTAGCAAAAATATCGATCAAGTCTAAGAATAAGATTCAGCCTTTCCCTGAGATCTTTGGCTATCAAAGTCAAGCTGAATGGTCTCCATAGTCTCTTGACATCTTTGTTCAGCCCCTTCCTTGATCAGCAGTTGAGAATATCCCTTGTAGCATTTGACAGAGCCCATACTACTCCAAAATGTTCAAAAACCTAGTCCAAAGCTTAGAAGTTATAGAGCAAGAGTAAGAATAAGTGACTGTTGTCTCCTTTCTCCTTTGGCAAATATAACATATGTTGTACATGACATAAACTCGTTATTGCGGGTTATTTTGTGTTAAACTAGCCTCAGAAGCTGCCAAACAGGTAAAACAAGCAACCTTGTATCATACTCTAGTTCTCCAGATAAAATTCCATATGTGTAGTTTCTTTGACCACCTATAAAAGATAGAGAAATGTAGCATAATATTTTACTCGAAGCTGTCCACTGAAGTAAATCTGGATACCGAGGATTTTGAGAAATTTTCAAAGGATTCAGCTGCAGAGTTCTTTCCAACTCACAATCAGTTTTAAACAGCAATCTGGTACTCATCCAGGACTTGCGCTCACACGTGGGAGGTGCTTGTCTCTCAAGCTCCCGGCACAAGTGCTCGACTCTACACCCCACGCACGCCTAACGCCCAAGATTGTGCATCATCTTTTACGCTAATCATGTGCAAATTTTCTAATTGGCAGAATCGACTCTCATTCTTTAATTAACTCCTTTATTCCTTAAAAGTCCTCCTATCTATCTCAAATATGAAGTATTAGAACACCGTAACTCAAAGTCGAGCCCCAAGATCACATACTATGATTGGTAACATCGTGTGGATGAGCTTTATTCGAACATTTCTCAAGGGAAATACATAGTCAAACATCATGTCTTCACTTGCCATAGGTTTTCAGGCATTAGTTCTCTATTTCTCATAATTTTATTTTTTTATTCCCCAAGAGAGAAAGTTTCAAGTACCTAGGGTCAATTATCCAAGGAGATGGGGAGATCGACAAGGATGTCACGCACCGTATTGGGGTGGGACGGATGAAATGGTGGTTAGCGTCTGGAGTCCTGTGTGACAAGAATGTGCCACCGAAACTTACAGGTAAGTTCTACAGAGCGGTGGTTAGACCGGCTATGTTGTATGGGGCTGAGTATTGGCCAGTCAAGAATTCACATATCCAGAAGATGAAAATAGCCGAAAAGAGGACGTTGAGATGGATGTGCGGGCATACTAGACTGGATAAGATTAGGAATGAAGATATTCGGGAGAGGGTGGGCGTTGCTCCCACGGACGACAAGATGCGGGAATCGAGCCTTAGATGGTTCGGGCACGTGCGGAGGAGAAGCCTAGATGCCTTGGTTAGGAGGTGTGAGTGGTTGGATTTGGCAGGTACGAGAAGAGGTAGAGGGCGGCCTAAGAAGTATTGGGGCGAGATGATCAGGCAGGACATGGCGTGGCTTCACATTTTCGAGGACATCGCTCTTGATAAGAACGTGTGGAGGTCGAGCATTAGGGTTGTAGACTAGGGGGTAGTCGAACGTTTTTCCCTCTTTGTACCGGATAGTCTGATATAGTTTTGTCTAGGAATGCTAGCAGTTTATGTTGTGCTCACACTATCTATTTATTTTTTTTGTTTTGCATAGTATTGTGTTATTGCCATTCCACTTATTTGCTGTTTCTTACGACGCTGTTATTATTTTCTGGTTTCTTTTGTTGTTACAGATCTATTTTTTTATTCTTTTCTGATATTATTGTCTCTTCTGTTGAGCCGAGGGTATTCCGGTAACAGCCTCTCTACCCTTCCGGGGTAGGGGTAAGGTTTGCGTACATTCTACCCTCCCCAAACCCCACTAATGGGATATTACTGAGTTGTGCTGTTGTATTCTCTTCCATTTGGAGATATGCTGTTATTTTTGTGTACCTTGGTGAGATAATCCAAGGACTCGTTTCATTTGATGTATTAGAGAAGTAATCTTGGTGTAAATTTTGATATATGTTATCCGGTGTTTGGTTTATATTTAAATCCTGCATAGCCAATCCTAGGATACACCAATTGGTGTATCATGTTGTACCTAATATAACATGAAATACACTACATGGATAATTAATACATGGATTAAACACCGAAAAGAAAACTACCCTTTATCATTTCCTCAAACCCATCGTAACACCCTTTCAAGTTTCAATTTTATTAAGTTTGAAAAATAAACTCATATTTTAAATTTTACCGTATATCCCATTTTTGGTACAAAGAATCAAGCGCCCAATAAAAGTAATTTTGCATTACAATCTCTGCATAACTAATTTCTAAATTAAACAACTCCTAATTGTTTAACTATTAGTAATTATTAAGGGGTATTGGCCTCAATCTTGTGAATATGTATATTCTCCTAAGACATTACTGATCTCACAACAAATAGTTAAGAACATTACGATGTACTCTTACCAACTCTGACATAAAACCCATTAATTTTCCATACAGGCCATACCAATTATGAAACCCCACACATCTAAGAAGCCTAAAACCGAATGTCTTCATGGTTATAATCTTTATTAGTATGGGTTTGATTTGAGTCTACCAACAAGAAGCACTAATTTTTTTATATGAATTAATGATGCTAACTCTGCCCAGACCACAACACAAATAGCTCTAGTCTACAGCAGGAGCCAGCAACAAATGAGTCATCTAACAGAGAAGAGGTTTTGCAGAAGGTGACATGAACAGAACTGGTTTCCCCACCAAAGTGCTAAAGGACAGTATCCTGGATGCTTCTGTGATGGTTTGCGGAAGATCAGCAAGGCTTTCCAAGGCCAAACGATAAACCTCAACTGCATTAAAGTGCATTTCTCGCCCACATATCAACTAGTGATGCGTTTTCCATTCAGCGCTCCTCGCTATACCGATCTAGAACCTATTAGTGCTATTCTAAAATCTTTTTGCTCTTCTATTTAATAGAAAGAGATTCTGATATATAAATGATGCTACAAAGTTGGCTCAAAGATGAGAGGAAGAAAAAGATGCAACCAGGATCCATCCAATAAGCATCCATATTGAATTAACTTGCCAGAGGCCCAGAACGATGGGCACAATATCATGCTTGCAGAATAAAATCCTTATGAATCAAGATCCTTGAACTTTTCAATCCGAAACGTAATCAGGAAACCAAAGGGGAAATTGAAAAAATATATACAAACTCCACCATAAAGTTAGTACCTGGGACAAGGTGGTCAAGAAAGAAGCAAGATTAAAGCTAATCAGCAAATCAAATCTTGATAAATACTTACGATCAGTGAATCGATGAATGAAAAGGCTAGGATCCACAGGTTTTTGAACAATTGGGTGATTTTCAAGGCTTAGAAGCTTGCAAAGCTGTAAGAACACAGCCCCTAAAATATACCTGCATTTTAATAAGAAAACAGGTTGAACAGGCTTCAATTACCATAATAAAGATAGATATTAGGTAATTGTTTTCCCAATTGTCCAACTGTAGGTATAACCTTTCATGTATGACCAAAAGACAATAGGACTTAGGATACTGTTCTAGATTTGTAAGAAAACCTCCAAAATTGGCCAATAAAGATTAACAATTTGTGAAGTCATTAATGTGCAAAGGGTCACCTAGATTTTTCTGATAGGTAAAGGAAACTTATTGAAATAGAGAGAAGAGACACTGCAAGTAGAGATGGCAAGTGGTGCGGGGCGGGTTCTACCTTAACCCGCAAAATTTCAAACCGCCCCGACCCGACCCGCATTGCATTTTCACCCGCATCCACGCCCGCATTATCCGCCCCGCAAAATTTTCCTCTTCTTTTTTTTTTTTCCTTCCCAATTTGTCTTATTTTTATTTTTGTCTTTTCAATTATGTTTATATATGTCATTGCTAATGTAAAAGTTTCCATCAGAATCCAGTGGCAAACCAAGGAAGTTATATTTTGAATAGCCATAACTTGGGAATACCTATAAATCCTACCAAATGCTATTAGTATGCCATTCTAATATATAATTCAGATTGTACAATGTAATGAGACCATATACATGAACTTAGCTTAAAACAAATTAACTATATAGTTAAAAGAGAGACTTTAGAGCAGTAAATAAAATATAAAACAAGTTTTTCTTCCCAGTGATGCAATTAGCAGAAGCATTGATATTTACAACCAACTGAATAGACGTCTACTATGAATCAATTCAAAAAACTAAATCAATTTGACACACAATAATCCAATTCATAAGAGAACAGAATTATAAGTCCAAAACTGGAAAACAAATATTTCTTGGTTGAGTATTAGTGATCGATAGCTGAAAAGTTGTACTGATTTGAAAATATTAAATCTTAACCCGTACCCGCACCACACCCGCAAAAAACTGAATTTGTTTTTATGTTGACCCGCCCTGCTCCGCTCCGCCCCGCCCTGCCCCGCCCCATTGCCATCCCTAACTGCAGCAGAAGAAAAACAGTCCTCAAATACAAAAGCCTAATATAACCAAAGAAGATATTCTCTTCAGTCAAACTGAAGATTAATCAAGAGTAGACCGGTAGTAAAGCATATAACTCAGTAACTTCCTCAAAAGCCAATTCCACTGCTGTCCTATATTTTCTTCCCACTAAAAAGAAGATATTAAGCTCCTTTATCTTTCTCAAACCCAAGACTGAATATACTTCACATAAGGCTGCTTTAGTTTCTTTTTCTTTTTTGAGAAAGTAAGACTACTTTAATGTCTAGCTCAACATGAAGCAAGATTTGTGTAATTTACTCTGACTGCACATGACTCACACATGAGATCTAGTTCACAATATAGACAAGAAGGAGCTAAGGGGTAAATAGAATATCATAATACTGAACACGATAATAAGAATTGCTAGCCAAAAGGGCAACCATTAAGTTCTTGCTCAAGATTATTGATCCAAAGTGTGATATCAAAAGAAAGCGAAGCTTACGTACACATTTATCCTCAAGTACTCAGAAAAGTCAATGAGTAGGAATGGCTTTTTGTTCTCCCTGCAAGAATAAACATAAAGAAACCCCACTTCGTCACTAGAAAGTAGCATGGGCCAAGAAAAATTACAATAAAAGATTGAATCAAAATGATACTGTCCTTTGTTACTCTTTCTATCTACGTACTAACGACAACTTTGTTGCTTTGGCATCCTTCCATGCTGCATAATATAGTTGATAGTTTCATGCACTATTAACCAGGTCAAGCTTTATAAAGTATCAGTTCTTTTACTTAGCCACCTTATTAATTAGGGCTTCTTACACTTTTAGCTCGCGCTAGAAACTATTTACATTCGGTAGCCGAAAAAGTGTATAAAATTTGTATATAACATACAAAATGTATATATATACAAAACAAAATATACATTTTTTCGGCTATTATTTTAAGGTACAGTGTCATTTTCCCTATTAACAATTAGGTACTATCAGCACAGGATTCAGGTCAACACTTGAGCATAAATTTTCTTGGTTAAGTACACAGAATACATAATTGTATGCAGACAACATAGAACTGATATTAGCTAATTGTGTTCCTTCAAATTTTCATAAATTCAGACAGGTGCCTTACCAAATTTAACAGTATTTTACTGCCCCAAACAACTAGATATTAAAGCGGTAATACTACGATAAGGAAAGTAGATATAACAAATATCATAAAGCAAAAATAATTCCACTTTCTCTAGTATGCAGATGTTATTTTTTCAACTATACAAGTGTAACTATGCAAACTTAAAGCGCAGGTAAATTGGGAGACATAATGATAACTTGGTCTCCTTTTTGTCTTCCACCTTTCTTTTTATCAACTGATTAAGCCAGTCCGGCACGCTTTTTTAGTGTCCAAAACCTCAATTTCAAACAAAAACACAAAAAATAAAAGAGAACGACATCTGATTCTATAGCTCAAGAAAGCTAAACACTTCAAAAGACAAAAGAGTATTTCAATGTGCAGATCTGGAACACTGTCAAAATGAATGGCTAGGTTACTTAACTTTCAGTCATTTTTATTTGTTATAAATTATATTCAAACAATTAATGATACTTATTGTAAAACAAACAAAAAAACTCAATTTTCCCACTTCTTTTTTCCCTTAGGGAACAAAAGATATGTTGAAAAAGAATATCATAAAACACAATCTCTCACCTGCATGCAATGTAAAGACACGCAGCCTCAACTTGCTCTTTCCTACGCCCCCTTGTGAAATTCCTCTCAACTGCTATCTGAAGTTACAGATTCAGCCATAGAATGATATATATGCTAGTAAGGTATAATCTAAGCATAATGAATCATACCGTATAGAAGGCCAAAGCTGGACGAGCTATTGAATCACCACCATCAATTCCTAATGCATAAGCCATACCCTCTATATCACTATATGCTGCAGGAAGGGGGAAACAAATAAATGTATCAGCAAAAACTACATAACTTATGCACCTCTAAGTATAGTGTTCCGCAAATCATACTAACCAGATTAATCTATACAACAAACCTTGTCAGTGTATTGCTAGAATAGCTACATAAATTAGCAACTCTAAGTGCAGGTCCCATTAACAAAACCTCTTTCTTGACATATCAGTATACCAGGACAGTGTTGCCACCAATCAACAAGAACAAAACACTTACTATTCACATATTCTTTCAAAATTATCATTTGGGGCTCATCTCTGAACCTTAAAGATGATCAGAAACAAGGACCTTTGACCACGGAATATTAATATATCCTCCACATAAATGTTTGGGTAGGTACATTTCCTGGAACTTATCTTGTAGATGAAAGGTTATTTAGCATTAACTTGATAAATAGATGAAAAGTTGTTGAGCTGTGCAGTTAGTTGATTTTGAGACAAAATTAGAGTGTTTCTCTACTGCAAGACTTACAAAAATTGTTACACCAGAATGCCTATATTGGAAATGGACAGCACAATCACCCGTATTTCAAGAAACTAAAATTCAAAATCTCACATTAGACAAAAATACCAACTAAACCATGAATATAACATTTACGATATAAGTTATGTAGACCAACTTTGATGCAAAGCAGATGCAAATGTAGTGTAGAAAGACACAACTTCTGTTGAAAATCGAGAACCAAATTTTCTCATTTCCCTAATAGAAGCAAAGAGCTTGTTAATCATTCAGCTGGAAAAAGAAAGATAGAAATCAAAGTACCAAACAAATAGGTAGACCGAGTATAAAGTCAGTGTGAGGAAACAAGAATTAGAGGTACATGAATACCTTCGTTAAGTGTTCTTTCACGTGAAGCTGAATAATCACTTTTGACCGTCCTCACAAAGTTCCCTGACAATTGGCTCTGCAAATGGTTTAAGTTAGACTTGATGGTATACAAATTGAAAAATGTAGCTTACAAGTCACCACATATATGATATAACTGCTCCTTTTCCTTGTTTTCATTTTAGTACTATGTATCTCCTCAATTGGGTATGTATATTTGAATTAGAAAAAATGGAATAGTTGATGAAAGTAAGGAACTACATCAATATTACATGCAAGGAGGTCATTTTTCACACTAAAACATACAGGCATCGTGGTGTTATACAACTAGCTTCTATTCCCTCTTCCAACTTCTCCACCTTCCCCCAAAACACACGTTTGGGATGGGAGTCCATTTTTCTCTCCACTGAAGCATTTTAGACATCAGAGTTTTTCTTAATCTTTTTTTCGGATATTTTAACCCCATAACAAAACTTCCTACCAAAAAACCAAATAGTGGTTTTTCCACTTTGCTCTCTTGGTAACTCAAACCCAACCTCATGAGGAGGAGATTGGCCTTTTATACAAGGCTGTCCATCCCTTCTCACATCACGATCCTGTTATTAAAGAACTCTATACAAAACATGTTCCTATCACGTGTATTTTCTTCAAGTTCCACCAACCGCATAATGAGGTACAACTTTTCAACAACAGAAGTAAGCATATTTAAACAGTTGAGTAAACATATAAACTTGCCAGCTAAGTTGCTCGGACACGGTGTGGGTGTCCGACCGGGTGCGGGTCTAGAGGTCGGATCCTTCATGATGTAAATTCTAATATTCGGGGGATACGGATCCTAGTATAGATACGGGTGGGGGGATCCGGCTAAAAATAATTCAAAAATATAAAAATATCTCTAAATTATGAGAAATTCTGTGGAATAGTTATGTATAGCTTGTAAAGTGTGAATTTCTTTTTTTATTCTCAAGTTGTAGATAAGTAAAGAATTGATTTCCTAGATAAGGTATGCTATTTTCTTCAAATTTACCCTAGTTTTGGTTCTGTTTTCGGGAATCAAATTGTATAGCTTGCCAGATGTATGTAATAAAGGCAGTGAAGAAACTAGATTTCTTTATTTTATTGTCAGGAGTGAGGAAAACAGGTTTCTTGTATTGTCTAATTTCTAGAGTCTCACACATACTTTCAGATCATTTGATCTTTAAGGTATTTGCTTTTATAATGATGGTATCTGACCAACTTGCACGCACCTCGACTATTTCACCGGGCACATGTTACCTCCCACCCGCACAAGTACCGAGTAACTTTGCCCACCAAGACTTAGGCAGATGGGAACAAATCATCTAGGGTATTTTATCTCTGTTGGGATTTGGACCCTAGTATCCCATGGTTTTGACCCACTTATTGACCGCTAGGTCATACCTTTAGATATGCTAGGCATCTGACGATAACAACCCAGCAAGTTTTCAGCAATGACATACTTATAAAAAAAAAAAAAAGTTATCAGCAATCACATGTTCCTCATTTTTTAAAATGAAATTTTCTTAACTTTCTTAGTGCTGCTCCCACTGCACCTTGAGAAATCCTTTTTAACAATTAATAATAATGGCATAAAGCCAGATTAAGCACACCTCCCAAACTAGATAGGATTGAATCTGAAGGGGACAAAAACGAACTGTGTCTAAGATATATCAACCCCATATGCATCGAGAAAGAATATGAAACAAAGAACTAACCTGTCCAGCAGCATTCTTAACAAAAGTGGGCTCACTTGAAAAATTATCTTCATCAAGAACTCTTCCACAGAAGGAACAACATCTGTAATGTAACAGAATGAAGTATCTTAGAACGAAACATATATATACAAATGAAGCATCTTAGAATGAATGAACTATTTACATATACAATGAAATGAACGACAGTATTATAAAGAAGAAGAAAGAACAACACCGTAGGAGACGAAGACTCACATTTTACCATCCACATTGTTGGATTGCCTGTTCTCTGCACAATAACCACACCAAACCATGCTCGAAGTAACCTGAATCAACTCACAGAATACATCACCTTGTAAAATTTGTTGAAAGTCGCCATAGAATTCTAACTATAATGATCAGCTTCATGCATATTTAGCAAAGGAATTCCACGCAGAATGATTAGTTTTTATTAAAAACAAGAAATTGTGAATTTATTCAATGGACGCGAAGGTGGATAGGAATTCTTTTTGATGAAGTAAGTGGTATTATAAATGGCATCAAGTAGATGCATAATAGCAAAAGTACAAAAGTGAGAGCTTGTTAGCTCTGATATGAGGGTGGATAGGAATTCTTTATTTGTAACAATCAGCTACATGCTGGTAGTTGACAATCCTAACTCATCTGATTTAAACCTTCCTAATTCGTTAGTACGTTAGTTACACTTGAATCAGAGTCAAAAATGTAGATTGACAAATCTCCGTGGCACTCATTAGGGAATGGATTAAACATGGCTGTTTTATCAACATCCAGTCGACTTAAAAGAACGAGATCAAATGACGAAACGTCAAGGCAGCTAACTATTATTAATTCATTTTACACTGCAAATTCCATAACCATCCAATGAGGTACCTAAAGATCCAAGTTTACAATTATTAAGAGCACTTCATATCTTTTAATAAATTCAGAGTCCAGAACAACATGACCACTCAGTGGAACTTCTGTAACTTATTGTGAATTGTGGGAGAAAAAAGAAATTTTCCTGGGCAAGAAATGAAAGGAAAAAAAAACTGAGATTTTAAAAAAAGGAGTAAATTATCAGTGACAAGATATCAAGGAGAGGTAATTATTAGTTCATCCACTACAAGTTCCATAAGAATCCAACGAGGTATAAAAAAAAACCTAAAAAAAAGAGGATTAAGTTTATACAGGTACCTACAACAATTCAAAGGTACCTTGATAGAATTCTGAGATGGTTACTTTTCCTCGCTATGGGTGTGAGAGAGAAAGCTTAGGGTTTTAGCAATTTTATGACCACTTCCTCAATTCCTCCGTTTTTAGGGGGACTATACAAATAACGTTCTTTAGGCGACGGGGTAAAAGCTGAATTAATGGTTCTAAGAGACTCGGACACCCGGTGCAAATCAAAAAAAATAACGGTCTTTAGGCGGGTCGAATTTCCTATTTGCTCAATCCACTCTCTAGTTTACTCTTTGCTATGAATTATGATACTACACAAAAGAAACTTATTTATTTAATTTGGCGCACACTTGTGTTGGGTGTCGGTGTGTATAATTAAAAAATTGTAAAGTTCGATTAAAATTAAGTTATCAATTGATAGAAAATTTATATAATATATAATTCAATTAATCACTAAGTTGGAATAATGATCATATTGCACAAATTTCCACCTTTTATTAACTTTTCTCTTAAAAAGAAAAATAATTTTTATATTTCAAGAAAATGTTAATAGAATATTCTCCACCGTGAGTGGACGCTCAATCTTATTTATAAATAATTATATTTTCTAAATGAGTACTAATTTTCCATATTTGCAGTCTCTCAACTTATTTGATATGTTAGATTTCAGTATCTTAAGGTAAAGATTTTCTTCTTTTCTCGAGCACTTTTCTATTAAAAACGTAAACCTGGTTACAGTTAACTTAGTTTTAGGCATGAAAATATTATCAATTATGAAGCATTACAATTTTTTCAAGCAACACTTATAAAATACTGACAAGCAAAAGTCGGAAAAATTAGCCTTGTATTACGAATAAACAAATAAATTGACGCATATGTGGTCTCATTTTTTGCACAATGTTAATCACGTTACACGAAATGTTTAACATTAACGCCAGAGATCAAGGGGTCTCGTTTTCAAATCTTACATTCATTTTTGCCTAACTAGTATGTGCGTTCTCACTCTTCTTCCTTTCTCCCTCAAGTAGGGTTGATATCGCAACTCCCTCTCATGAGGCAAAGTGAAGGTGAAAATACTCTCTTAATGAAACCAATGGACTTATCAATCATCGCGTACAAATTCTTAAGTTGGTTGAATTATTCAAGGAGTGGAATATAGCTTCCAAAGTTACTCTTTTTCAATAATCTAGTATTTGACTAACAACCTGAAAGTGTTCGATCAACATATGTTATATATTATTAAAATAAGCTCTGGGGTTCTTAAGACAACTTTTAGTAATGTAGTTAGCAAGTGAAAAATAGTATATAAAGAAGAAAAGAAAGAGATGTTCTATACTACCACTACAACAACAATAACAACCAGTGAAATCTCACAAGTGGGGACTAAGGGGATGTATACGCAGATCTTATCCCTACTCCGTAGGAGTAGAGAGGCTGTTTTACGATGGACCCTCGGCACAATAAGATGAAACGAGACAATGTAGCAATAACAGCAAAGGAATCCAGAAAGATAACCCCAACAACGTAACAACCAAAAAATAGAGAGACAAGTAATAACCCTAAGCAATAATAATGGAACAGTAACACAGACGCGATGGAATACTAAGGACACGGCAAGAGCCACTAACATCCTAGGACAAAACACTTCCAGACTATCTTCTTACAACCTAACCGACAACCCTAGTGAAATACTAAGGACACAACTGGAGCCACTAGCTGCCAAAAACAGAACACTATCAGACTAACCTCCTATCTCCTAGCCTACAACCCTAATGCTCGACCTCCACAACTTCCTATCAAGGGAAGTGTCTTCGAAAATCTGTAGCCACACCATGTCCTGCCTGACCACCTCTCCCAAATATTTCTTAGGTCGCCCTCTACCTCACCTCATATCCGTCAAGGCCAGCCGCTCACAACTCCTTACCGGGGCATCCAGGCTTCTCCTCAACATGTGCCCAATACTCAAATAAAGAATATTACTTATAACTGGGGAAAAAAGGCTGGTCCAGAATATTTGAAAGTATTTGGAAGAACTGTTTGAAAAGCATAGAGTTGGGACAAAAGTGCAGGAACGAGAGGTCAAGTAATCGAACAGGATCGTCCATAAATCATGACACGAGTTATAACTCTGCCAAAACACCCTGTTGAAACAGTAAATCTTACACCAGGAATTATCATATCAACATTACTGCACAAGAAAAAGGATTTGAAAGAGAAAACTCTAAATCAAATTTTACACAATTCTTCACTGCACGTAGTCAATACCAAAATTAAAACAATATTAAGATTTACGAGAAGGAAAACAAAGTTTTTCCAACTAATGCAAAACCACAAGCAACCATTACTAGTATTCATTCATAAATAAAATAAAGCCACTTACACATCTCGTGCTATTCTGGATAACTAATAAAACACTGAATATAGTGCAAACAACTTACTGTAAATTTTCTGCTGTTAGCAACTTTATTTAAGAGGGTAGAAGCTGAAGAACTATTGTAAAGAAAACTTTTTCCTACTGTAAATTCCAGAGAATGGTTTCAGACATACCAAACAAGCCAACAACAAATGATGTTCAAATTAAATCATAATGAAAGAGCACATCAGCAAACAATCGTGCAGCTTTTCTACAGCACCTAGTGCCCAACACATAAGCATGCAAAGCTAGGAAACATGAAACCCTTTCAACTTCAACTTGATTAAGATAGAAGTAAGATCTGGACATGTCATGTTGGGAAAATTGTTCCAATCCTTAGGATAAATCAAAATTTTCAAACACAGTACAAATTACACCTCTTTAATAGCAAAATCAAGATTCAACTTCACTTCCTTAAAAATTCAATAAGCAGCTAAATGACTCTAACTCTCTGTCTGCTCCCTAAGCCTTCGAATAGTGCTCCTTACGGTAACAGCGCTAGCAGTGCTGGAAGAAAGGAGAAAAAAATTAGTACTTCAAGCACAGATTAAGAAAGAGAACAGCAAGAGTCCAGATGATAATTACTTCAGTGTATAAGCACCGCCAGCTTTCACTTTGCCGCAGTCTTTGCAACCCCAAATTCCAACAGCTTTCCTCTTGACGGCATACTACAACATAAGAACATAGAGACATTATTATTGATGTAATTATGAATTCGTGCTCTAAAGCAAACAATCATATAAAAACACATGGGAATTGTACCTTTCCGCAGAACTCACAGAAGTATTTGCTGTGCTGACTGACCTCCATCTTCTTGATCTGCTTCCTCAAACTGGCACCATAACGGGTACCTATAAGAGAAAGAGGAGGTTATTCAAAGATTTCATTAGACAAACCAACAAACAAATATGCACCTCCCCTTAACTTGTTGTTGGGGGGGGGGGGGGGGGGCTTAGAGGATACCTCTAGCAGTACCATAGCAAATAACAAACAAAATCATAACCAGCAATGAAGTAACGGACACTATGTTTCACTAATATAACTGTGGTTGTTATACTAAACGTTTTAGCAAATCATTATCACAATTTTTTTGGGAGAAAAGCATTTAAATTAACTTTAAGCTGCAAATCCAAATGTAGTTCATTTTTTCCTCTTAAGGCATGAAATCTTCTAGAATACACTACTTCACCATTAAAATACAAAAGTAACACAAATCATAGTAGCATTTTAGACACGTACCATACTTCCCGACGATACCAGCCTTCTTGGTTCTCTTGGTCTGTGTCGAAATAAAAGTACAGTTTAACAAGCATGTCAAGCTAAAATGATAATATAAAAGGTTATGAAAAAGTTTGAGAAATATCCATGCAGCCAAACAAGAAAAGATAAGAGATCAGATTACACCAAAGAATCAATACATCACCAACCCAAAACAGTTAGACAGCTATATACTTGATCCTATTCAGGCAACCATTAAGTATGAGTCAGCAAGATGTAGCTATGCAACAGTGGATTCACGCAAACCCATTGCCTTAGGCTCAAACTGTAATGTGGATGTGTATATATTTAGTCAAAAATATTTTAAATGCATAATAGTAGGTTTTAGATTCTAGAATGTAAAGGCAGAGAATGTTAGCCATGTCAACAAAATCACAAGAGTCTCCTTACCTATAAGAAAAATCATAAGTCTCCTTACCCATTACATGTTCTAGACCTAGCTATGCATGTAATAACCAGCTAATGGAGTGATACAGTGGAAGAACATTAGCACCCATTTTTATATGGTTGAACACCAAACACAAAAGAAAGGCTCATATAATAAGCTTAAAACCTCCAACTTAGCTACCTTAGCACTTCAGCTGGTACACACACTGAGAGACACAGAGACACCAACAAAATTATTTAACCAAACATTTCATCTAATTGAGGATTAATTCGACACTTCACCCAGGAACTGCATTGCCATTAAAACGATACAAGATGAAATCCGACAAATTGCATTCAACAATTACATCGTATATTTATTCAAATTGCAAACAACTGAATATCCAAAAAAGTAATGCTCGTCTGGTTTAACAGTAAAGAGTACCATTTTGGCGAGCTACAGAAGCACCCTGAGACCTGATGGAAGAGAAAAGAAGCCGCGGCTGCTGCAATAAAACCCTAGATTGCGAAGAATCAGCTATGCTTTGGTGCTTTTATATCAGTGGCCCGATTCGAGTCTCTTTCAATTGATCCTAACATGGATTTTGCCCTACAGCCCAGTAGGGAGTTTTCTCTCGATTACAGGCCCATTTAGCTATTGATCTTCTTGGACAAGTTTCGTGAAAGAACATTTTTATGGCCTTTTTGGACAAGTTTATTGGGGGCATTTGCATCTATACCCGCTTTTTGACTCATGTTTTAACTTGTACCCACTTTGCAAAAAAAATCACAACCGTACCCACTTTTTCGCGTAACTTCAGCATACGGGGATGAAGTAGCAAAGGCAATCACGCAAACTTCAGCATTCCAGTAGACAGGCCTGAAGTAGCAAAAATTGTTGAACCAAGTGTGCTGGAGTTTTTGTTTGTAATTGCTGAACTTAAGAATTCTAGTGCTGAAGTTTTGTTCTCTATTTGCTGAAGTTTTTATTTGTGATTGCTGAACTTAAGCATTCTAGTAGCTGAAGTTTTGTGATGCTGAAGTTATTTAGTTCATTTGTGTAAACTTTAGCACTAAATAAGCTGAAGTTTTTTTGTCCTGGATTCATTAGCTTTGTCATTAAGCTTTTTCAAAAACTTCAGCAGAAGATGCTGAAGTTATTTAGTTCATTTGTAAAAACTTCAGCACTAAATAAGCTGAAGTTTTTTTGTCCTGGATTCATTAGTTTTGTCATAAAGCCTTTTCAAAAACTTCAGCAGAAGATGCTGAAGTTATTTAGTTTATTTGTAAAAACTTCAGCACTAAATAAGCTGAAGTTTTTTTTGTCCTGGATTCATTAGTTTTGTCATAAAGTTTTTTCAAAAACTTCAGCAGAAGATGCTGAAGTTATTTAGTTTATTTGTAAAAACTTCAGCACTATATAAGCTGGAGTTTTTGAAAAAGCTTTCTAACATACTAGATAAATAATCACCTTATTCTTTCATAGTGTATTACTACTATAAAATAATCAGATTGCCAACAGTATCTAAATCATAATTTTTGGAAACAATAAATGTGAAAAGAACAGAAATATCATGAAAAGAATCACTAAGTGTGACCTTAAACTTCTCGTACGTGGAAATATTCACAAATTATTGTCTACTAACTTACGTAATTATTTATAATTTATTTTTAAATAATCTGATAAACATACTTATGGCAATCATTCCATGAACTGAAATTTCATAGCAGCACCAACAGAAGCGGAAGAAAGAAGAAGAAGAAGAAAACGAAAGAGGAGAATGAGGAGGAGAAAGGGGGCTGAAGTTGTTTAAAAAGTGGGTACAAGTTAAAACTTTTTAAAAAAAATGGGTATAGGTTAAATGGGGGCGACCAAATAGGGCGCCCCGTGCAATTTTTACAGTTTATTGCTTATAGGAAAACTTACACAAATGTCCCAAATAAGTCTCAACTTACCAACCTCCAGCCATTAATCATAGATTTACCAAAACTAGCAATCACATATATAAATTAAAAAACCAAATAAATAAGGTTCTTTCTCAAGAATCACATGCAAAAATCACCTTCCATATTTTTAAGCGTGATTAGCAACGTTAGATTCAAGACAGAAAGGAAATTTCATGGATGAGATAGCAAATAAGTGATGAAATACAAAAAATACAATATTCCAAAAATCTAAGCAAAAAAGGAACTTTTTTAATGGGTATAGTTGAAAACATATAGATAAGTCAATATACAAAATTTGAGGAAGATTGGAGGTGATTTGGATTGGTTTTGTATCAAAATCCGTAATTAAATCGAGTTCAAAACAATGCTTCTGCGACACACGTATCAAACATGTATCATGCATGTATCTCACACACTGGTATACATATATATATATATATACATGTGATATACAATTGATACAAATATGATACATATGTGATACACAAATGATACACATCTCATTTTTTTTCAGTTCAGTTTTTACTTCGAATTTTCAATTCAAACCACCTCAAAACTTCAATAAATCATCCCAAAACTGAGATTCAAGCTCCTTAAGATGTACCAAGTCTATTCTAATAACACTCACTCAAAAGAAAGCAAAATTTTGATATTTTTTGCTGCAAATAGCTAATTGGCTAATATTAGTAATATTTTATGAATTAGCCAATTTTTGTAATGAGCTACTTATAAATGGACATAGCTGGTAGTTTCCCCAATAAAAAATATTGTATAGCTTTAAGGTTCATTTGGTTCGGTTATGGGATATCTCATAATTATAATTATGGAATATCTGAGATTAACTAATATCCACAATTAAAATATGATAACTATAATCTCAAATTTTATATTTGAATTAATATCTTTATTCCGGCAATCAAACGACCCCTAAGTGTTTTCTTCTTCTGTCAAATAAATTTCAAGAGTACTTGTCATATCACTTTCTTAACATTTTAAAATATTTTAAATGACTTTTAATTTCATATTCTCATTTGAAATAAACATTCATATTCTTAAGAATTCTATGTGAAATAATGAGATAAGTTTAACCTTCAAAGTAGTAGATGGCAATTTAATAGTATCTTATTATTTTTTTATAATTGATATATAGATAAACAACGTTCCAAGGTAAAAAATAAATAAAAAGCTAACTATAAGTCAACTAGTTAAATGATAGAAAAAAATCACTCATTCAAGTTTATACAAACTTAATCAAACTCTAGCATGTTATAATATGCCTAACTACCGAGTAGCATTCTTATAGTTGAGAATCCGGAAGAGAATGTATAACTAAAAAGTTAGAAACTAGAGTAAAAAAAGCTTAGATGAGTCGTTTATTTATGATCTAGATGTTTTTATATTGTGTTTTACTTAAAGATCGGGACACGAATAAAACTTTTAGGTAATTCATCGTGTACCGTCACAGTTAACTCATTAGCGAAATTATTGAGAATAAATACAGAATATTGTCACAATTTAGGGATGCTACAAGAATTAGAATTGTTGAAAGAGTAGAACATAACTGCAACAAGTGACCCGTTGGGACCAAAAAGGGAAAATTAGAGGAGGAAGGAACTATCAAGTTTTGGAAATAAGAAAGAAGGATGTTATATGGTGGAGTATTTATAGCTAGGGGTGGCCATTCGCGCAGTTCGGATTGCATATGAAATTTCGGTTTGGATTTTCATTTTTGTTTTCGGATTGACGAAATGACAATCCAAATCCAATCCAAATAAGTTCGGATTGGATCAGATTTTTTAAGTTCGGTTTCAGATTAATCGGTTTGGATATCTTGGATTTTCGGTTTTGAGCTTATAAGTTGAGATGTTTCTTCTTTTTACAAAAATAAATATCTAAATGAAGTACTTATGTTAAATTGTGTGAAAAGTTCCTCATTCTCACCGCAATCATCCAAATGAAGTATTAAACTAATAAAATTATTATATAAAAAAATAAAACTATACAATAGAGACATTAGTACTGCAGATAAGAAGTAGAAATAGTAAAACCATGTCCAAATATAAAGTCTTCTCATAGTAACTTAGTAATTAATATTAAATATATGAGATTTATTGGGTATGGTATTGAACTTATTACTATTGACATATGGATAATTGACTAAATATAAAATATAAGAATTTCGAATTTTCGGATATCCAAAAATTCGAAGTACCAAATCCAATATCCAATCCGAAATCCAAATATTTTAAAAATTAAATCCAAAATCCAATCCGTAATCCGAAAATCTAAACCAAAAATCCAAGAAATTCAAATTTCGGTTTGGATTTCGGGTTTGCCCAAGCTATGCCCACCCCTATTTATAGCTGAAAGTAGGACTGTCAAATTTGGCCCAAGCTCAAATAACTCGTCCAACCCATCTCAGTCCATCTTGTTTCAACTCATTTAAAGTTGGCTTATATTGATCCATGAGTAATTTTACCAAAAAATCTTAGAATTTTTTTTTTGTTTGATATGTTATATATGACCATAGCAAAAGAAAAAAAAAAGTCTCATTTAATAACTATACAATTCATAAGAAAATAACACATATTAAGTAAAGCTTGACAAGAGTTGGACGGGTTGAGCTATGACTCAAATTTTAGCTCATCCTGACCCAAATAATTTTTGGATGAGTCAGATTATCCGACCAATTATTTACTCAATCCATTTTGACCCGTCCAAAATCGGCTCACCCGCCCATTTAATACCCCTAGTTGAAAGTGCGGCTGGAAATTTACTACTACCAAGCACATTGTAATGGAAAGAACCACAACTCCACAAGAGTTAACATGAATAGGAAAATCCATAATGAGTTGTAGCAAATTTTTATGATTTAATTGTTAATAAAGTGAGTCGAAATAATATGAGTTCAGTTCACTCAAACATTCATGAAGTGAGTCATGTTTGACCAAAAAGTGCGGCTCTTGGCTCATGAAGATGCAACCAATGAGCATTAAATAGCATTGAATAATAATAAATGGCATTTGGGTAAATAAATGAATGATTCACCCGATAAAGGAGAAGCTGGATGTTATTCATCCTGACAATGATGAATGACACACAAATCCTTAAATGTTCGAATTATCCTCGGATCTGTTAGAAAATATGGAATAATGTGGACAAGAATCTTGGCAAAAAAGGTATTGTTTGTATCGTAGTAAGAGAGAGAGAATATTTTTATCAAAGAGTATTCTTACCAACGAATATCACCTGCCATACATCATTATCTTTTTTTCTATTTATATGAGATATATCCCTAACAAACCTTAATAGTACAAGTGTAGATAATATCCACTAGAATATTATCTTTAATACCCTATTTTGAAAACTAGTTGTTATAGCTATGTCAATGGTGCTCGACCTTGACCATTGTTGACGTCTCGACCACGAATCTCGCTGCTTTCTAGTCGACCTCGACTGATGACGTCTTGAAGGCTCTTCCTTTAGTGTTATCTTGTCTTAAATACTTTAGGGCAGATTTTGACTATATAGTTAGTCCCTCCGCTTATTGAGGTCGGCCTCAGACGGCCTTGATGAGCGGACTCTGTTTGTCGTGGTCGAGAAGGT